ATACATACATACATACAATACATACAGGCGGAAGTCAAGAAAACGGGCAACATGCTTGCCCCAAAATTCAAAAATTCAAGTTTGAAGCCAAGAGGTGACCAGTGCATTGGAATTTCCAATCCATCAGGCCTGCAGAGACGCGTGTCCAGCGAGATCCTGTGTAAATGATAGGACGTCACAACCCCACCGCGCTCGCAGACTAACCGATTCTTTTGATTCCCAATGTTGGATCCCCGTGGGCTTCAGGAGTAAAGCCCTTCTACAAAGCCCTCTGTCAACCCTGCTACCAAAGCGGCCTCACATGTGCAGCACCAGGACCCGCCGCTCCGGCGAGAAGATTGTCACTTCGAGGCCGACATGACGCCAATGTATCGGAATTTACAGCAGGACACCAACATGCCGGAAATGCCAAGAGGGATGTCAATTCCGAATTCGAATCGTCACGGCACCACGCGCACAGCGCAATGTCATGACGCGCGGCGAGTCAAGGCCAACCAGCCTCACGAAACGCTAGGGGCCAACTCCCGAATACCTCACATGCCACGCACCTGCACGACAACCCAAGCGACAACCTCACGTCAACATCATCACGTCATGCCATCCAAAGCATCTTCACGTTCGCCAAGCTTTCGGAAAAAGAAAGAAGGATCGGATCTTGAAAACCAAAGCTGCAAGCCGAGTGGCCAGATTGTTCATGCAGGTCAACGTATGGGGGTGGTCTTCCCCCAACCTGCAGGCAAAGGGTCTAAAGGAAGGGAAGTGCAGGGAGCGTGTCAGGTTTGCAGCATCACGACTGGAGCTGTGGCTGTAAAGTCCGGCCTCAGTTGCAAGCCCTTGTAGGCCATATACCTCAACAGGCTCTGGAGAAGCACAGGCAGGGAATATGGACACCAGGAGCCCTGGAGAAAGGATGCCTCCACCTTCCAAAGGTCTGAACCAAGCCGTCCCGATGGAGTTTTGCCCATTTCTCTCTTGTCGAAGTTGCTGCATCTTCTTTGCGTTCTGCATGTCCCCTTTGACCTCGAGGAGGCACGCCAAGCTGCCTGGATCGTGAGGCCGGACAGCCATGCCAAGGCATCGTCACGACTGGAAGGAACTAACTAGCAGCGAACCCGCGGCATCCCAAGACTCAAGTCAGCTCAGGCGCTGAGGCTTCGCAGCGTGTCTGGGTTCTCCAGCCCCAGCCGCTTTTCTCCTTAATGGAGTTCGTCCCGTAGACGTAGAAACCCTCTACACCGTCGAAATTGTCCGAGGAACTGCCCTCCACCACATGGCGGTAGAGCTTCTCCGCCTCTTCGGAGTTGTTTCCCAGCAAGACCTAAGACAAGCTGAACGGCTGGTAACCATTTGCGTTTCTCGCCTGACTGAGATCCCAGTCACCAGGAGACCCAGCCTTCATTCACATGATTTTATCACCCAACCCTCCAAAATCAGATCCGGATCCTCATGCTCCACAAGGCAGGTGGCGGCCAAGTTGTGCTCGTAGGTTAGCGTGTCTGGGTGATCCAGGCCTGGGCAAGTCTCGAACAAACCAGCAACAATCCATCGGTTCTTGCTTGTTATGACATTGCCAGGGACTGTCCTTATGCTGTTTCTAGGGGCGGCGTGATGTGGCGCTTGAACGTCCGCTGGTCGAGGTTTCGAGCGAGGTTTCCCAGGGTCCGCTGAGGATGTCGAAATTCTCCAATCCTGTACCGAGACCTCGTCCTAGCTCCTGTGCAACAGCACTTTGCCGTCCTGCCCGCTAGGACTGAGAGACTGCGGGGCGTTACAAGCACGTAGGCCGTAGGGCCTCAGGCTCGGAGCCCTTCTGCTCTGGGCTCCTGGCCGAGACGGGACGTCGCACCGGCACGCGCCTGGCCGGAGTTGAGAAGCTGTGAGAAGTCTTCTGGCGCAGCAACTTGCACGAGCTCATGGGAAGGCCGTGCGATGCTGTAAAAAATCAGAACTACTCCTTGCACCCCTCCCCATCTTGCACAAGGCATCCTTTCTGCACCTGGGCCATGCATATGCCGTCATCCTGCAATGGCAACCCACATTGAGCATGAGAACCAAGGCACCTCGCGATAGAGCTGCTCCGCCTGTCATTGGATGGTTGACCCACAATTTGATTGAATTTTACTACTAAAGCTACAGCTGTAACTGTATTACTATAACTGTACCTATAACTATATCTGCAACTGTAACTACACAACTGCAACTGTGTAACTATGACTACAAGTATAACTACAAGAAAAACTGAAGCTGTTAGCATAACTACCCGATAGCACAGTGTACTAAGTACGAACCAATTATGTTGCAATGCGTTCTCCTTATATTGTGCTATCTTAAGTCGGTTTAAATCAGATTATCATCGACATCATACACTATACTATTTCTGAATTGCTTGGTTGTATTATGCTATATTATATTGGATCATGCAGTTTAATGCAATTTAAGAAGATAGAATAGAATTCAATAGAATATAGTATAGCGTTTTAGCATAGTATAATACAGTATAGCAATACTATATTGTCTTATCTCATCTAAACTTAACTTATATTATGCTATGATATTTTTTGTTATGCTATATTGTCTTATACTATCTTATATTGTGTTATATTATACTATATTACTTTACATTAGTTTACAATAAATTTACATTAATTGATGTTGTAGTATATGGTATCAAACCATATCTTAATTCATTCTATCTTCTTGCTCTATAGAAAACTATGTCGTAATTATTACGTGAAATGTTAATTGTACTGTGTACTATGCTGCAGAATATGTGTTTTGTAGGTTTACTGTCTTAAAACAAATGTGTTAGATACTCTTATAACATATGTAATAGTAGTAGTCGTAGTAGTAGTAGTAGTAGTAGTAGTAGTAGTAGTAGTAGTAGTGGTAGTGGTAGTAGTAGTAGTAGTAGTAGTAGTAGTAGTAGTAGTAGTAGTCGCGGTAGTAATTGTAGCAATAGCAGTAGGAGTAGTAGGAGTCGTCGTCGTCGTCGTGGTGGTGCTCGTGTACCTATAAACCTATAAATATTGAATTTTTTGGGGTTATGCATTACTGTTTGTTACTCGTAATATACCATTACAAGTTATGTACTATGTACTATGTAATATACAGTACATAGTATACGTATATTTTGAAGTATATTGGTAAATTGGGCAATGCTATACCCCCCTCCCCCCCAGCCTGCCCCCGGACTGGATTTACTCGCTGTCCTGCAAAACCCCAAGCCAGTTGACCATGTCACCCGTGAATTTCTACCATATGCTTAGGCAATTTCCCTACACCACAACTTCACCGTTCACTTAAACCAGATGGTTGGGCCCCCTCACCATTTCACAAGTGCACCGTTTCACCATTTATTTCCCGCATATGGTCAAGCATTTCACCCTTTCACCATTCATTTCCCCCGACGTGGTCGGGCCATTTCACCATTTTAGCACTCATGTCCCCCTCATGTGCTCACGCTCCTAAATTTCATAAGGCCAAACTAATTGGTGAAATGGTATCTGGGTTTAGACATAGGGCCAAACATATTGGTGAAATGGTGACGCGGTGAGATGGTTTTGTGCTTAGACATAGAGCCAAACTAATTGGTGAAATGGTTTCTGGGCTTAGACGTAAAAGCCAAACCAATTGGTGAAATGGTGAAACGGCAAATTGATGAAATAGTGCAATGGCCCGGGGGCGACACCACCCCATGTGGTTAGCCCTCTTCACCTCACAGGACCAAGCTAATTGATGAAAAGGTGAAACGGTGAAACGAAGGAGGGTTTGAGTACCATGGTAGGATCCAGCTGATGATGAAATGGTGAGAAAATCTGTCGGTTTGATGGCTTCGGACCCGACCCATTGTTGGTAAGCTGCATGTTTCAAGGTTCGGCCAGCCTGGGTTTGTTTTGCCTCCTGCATGGCTGAACGCGTCACAAAGCAGGGTTGCAGACAGATACCAGAGAACTGGTCCACTTATGGTGTAGACTTTCCAGCTGACTTCGAGCAGTCATGCCCCAGGCTTATGAACCAGGGTTGTAGTTTATGAACTTGGGGGGCTTCATTGTCCCCTTGCATATTAAACCTTACGAGCGGAATCTTTTTCATCAGTACTTCATGAACACCTTAATCCAAATTTTCGGAGAGTTTACGTAGGTTATATCAAGAAGAGAGTATATGCAATGAGGCCAAGCAAGGACTAGCAGAATAGATGGTCCTAGGTAGCCGCCACAAATTCGGTGTTTCCAGGAATGGCGCGTTGTTCTTGTGTTAAAGAAAGATGATTTGCAAATTCGCGTCGCCATATGCATATTCCAGCGACTTTAGCCGACAGGCCATGCTGCAGCATCAAAACAGTTGGTCTGACCGTTCCAATACATGGAGCTTATAAGCGAGCAGGCAATCTATGTACACATGTCGCAAATAGGCGCTTACATGTCACCCACCAAGAATCATCATGTGGAACATGACGTGGCTCTTATCCTGGTAACAATATTTCCGTAGGTGTTGCCAACATTATTGGAATATCAAGGTACACAGAAAGCTGAAATACGACTGGCAAAGCCTGATGGTAAGGAGAAGCGGTATTTTTAAATTAATCACTTGGCTAGGCTTTCAACACTCGGCACATAGACGAACTGCAGCACATTTGCAAACATCATTCCAGGGAAGCTAGATTCTTGTGAAATGAGCCTGATAAGAATGCAGGTCGTGAGCAAGCCATATCTTGCAGCTTACAATCTGTTAGGTGTCCTCACTCCGTACACAGACAAAACTCTAGCAACACCATTTCCAGTTACCTTGGGATGAACTATGAGACTCGTCCGAGGAGTGAGACGGGTCAATATCACAGATGTTGAAGTGGTAGTTTATTGCTGGCATAAGCAAGGTTGCAAGGATTTGAACAGGATGAACAATGTAGCCAGTTGGGTTTGCAAGACCACAGGGTACTTGTGAATCTGTAACGCAAAAGGTACAAGCAGATCAATGGGTGAATCCATGCAACCGTTTGACGTGTCTTACCACCTTTTTCTCAAATAAGAGAAATCATGTTCTGGACCGGGACAATGGCTTCTAATAGGGCTCCAGTAGGTGTCAACAAGAATCCAAGCATAAATGTTGCATGGGAATAGCAAGGTCAGCAGAACATGCACGAGCTAAGGCTGGTATGAACTCCTTTTAAGGACAATTGTGAGATCGTTCAAGTGTGCTAATACATGAAGCAAAGATTTCATCACTCGTATATAGACACATTGTCAAGAGCATGCAGACTATATTGTCCTAAGAAGCGACCGTTGATATTGTCCGCCATGTTCAACAAGCAAGTTTTTAATGGCACAATCAACTGTAGGAATTAAGGAATGCAGCACCCAAATGCCCGAAGAAACGGGATATACTTGCATTAGCAATCGCATAGGGATATAGGGATATGTTACGTGGTTAGAAAACAGGGAGTCTGTCGGGATTGCGGCGTTACAATACAAACAAGGAAAACTGATAGGTCTACAGACTGGAACTCATAACGTTGCTTCAGCCCGTCAGTATGGATTGTGAGAGAATGAGACGTGCAAGAAATTTGGATGCGCAACACTGGGCCGCTTCTTCAACATTTCTTTCGGACAATGCACTTTCCCCCGATTGAGCATGGAAACTCCGATTGAGCATGGAAACTTCCTAGCCTAGTCGGTTGGTCCCCAGACTCGGTTTGCAGGGATGCTGAGGAACGCAACGAGAATACGGGCTTCGTGGGGGGTGCTTCGTAGGCGATGATACGTACTGGAGCAAGCACTGTGAGAAGCATCCATAATCATCCATAGAGACTTAGATACTGAATATTGTTGGGTCTGATTTGGAGCCAAAAGAGATGCACACTCACTGTGATGTATACGCTTCGGTCCAGAATTACAGGTTTGCAAACTTTGCCCTGGGTGTATACACTTTGATGGGATCCAATACCAGTTGCTGGTTCCACAATAGTACACAAACTCAGACATGCAAGTAGAAAAAGACTGAGCTGCCGATCAATACACCTAGAGGTGTATATATGGTTTTATTTAGCTATATGCATCTATTTTTAGCACTCGCGCTCGACCAGCTCAGGCGAGGACCACGGAAGACCAAAACACTCCAACAAATATGCATGTATACTGGTCTATCTATATGTGTATATATATATATATGTATATACACACAATGCATTTTTGCAATTATGTAAGTCAGCTATTTTACGGATGTTGCTTCGCATGCTAGATACAGATATATGAATATAATAATGACAAATATACAAAAAATATCTATGTATATCGATATAAATATATGCATGTATACATACATATATTATTTCCTTATTGGTTTATACAGTACACAATACGTATTGCGTTTTGTATAGAAGGTAGCGCATTAGCATACGACATTCTATTGTATTGTGCATTGTATTTTGCAGTGTGTGTATATACATACACTATCGACAAAATAATAACTGTAGTAAACTGTATGGTATTAAGAAAGTTTTACAGATTGTATACTATACATCTTACATGATAAAATAATACTTACATTCTGTACAACATACCAGACTGGACATAATTTGCAGTAATTGTGGCATTTTAGATGTTTTGCATGTTACATTGTATGTTATACCGTGTGCTCACATTATATGTACGGTCATATGCAGATCACTATGTAATTTTGATTCTCTGCATTTTAACTTCGCACACATTCATAGATCTATAGGTATACACATACATACATACATACATACATACATACATACATACATACGTACCTACCTACCTACCTACCTACCTACCTACCTACCTACCTACCTACCTACCTACATACACATCGGCCATCCGAAGGCCAAGCCAGCGTGCAGCGACCCGAGGGTGTGCCAAAAACATCTTGCTTACATCAAAGCTGTCCCGGCGATCAAATCGGTGTCCGATTAGAAAGAGATCCCATCGTGTGGCTAGACTGACTGAGATAAGGTTTTGAGGCTGCTACCTTGGTATTCTGCAAGAAAAACGGCTCAATTGGTGCCTTCTGGGAGTCGAAGCGGGTCTTGTCGTCGCGATCTTTTAAGACAAGTGCAAGGTTGTTCTTGCAGCCTCGGCTCATAAAAACTTCTTCCATCAAGAATAAGATTCTGCTCTCTCCAGGGCCGGGCGCTCTCCGTCTTACTTCTTCGGCCGGCCACTACCAAGTCGGCCAGGGCACGGAAAATTTCTGGATGGTCTTCTCCATGCAGTGTCTCGGATACAGCACGGGAAGCGCTTCAACCCGGTTTTTCGAGAAGAAACTAGAAACAGCTGCTGGACATCCAATCCTACAGAGTCTGCCAGATAAACGATGTCCAACAGTGTGGTGGTTCAAAGACTTTTTCAGGAACATGTGCTATTTGTGCACAGTCTGGACCTGATGCCGAGGCTATGCAAATGTTCCTCCACGATCGTTCGGGGCGGGCGTAGAATTATGCAGCAGGGAAATCCTACTGAGAACCAATCTTCTTTGCGCTCAGTCACTCGGCGGCCTGACAACGCACGTTCGTGCAGCGCCTGTGCCTGCGAAGCTTTGGACAGGAAGCAGCTTCAGACTCCGTGACGGTCTTCTTCTGCAGGCATCAGCATTCGGGTGGCTGAACTCGCCTGAACCCTGTAAGGCCAGAAACACGAAAGGCAAAGGGTGCCATTTCAAGAGGTTCCTTCTCAAAGGATCTTGACATGATTCGAAGGCTCCGGGCAACAGGGCTGGTACGTAGTACCACCTCCGGACTCGACCACATCTCGGCCTCCTCGAAGCTGCCCTTCAGCCTGCTCATTAAGCCGGGAAGGAAGTACGCTGTGCGGCAATTCGGGCCTTGAGATGCTTGAACTGCTCTTAATTCATGTGATTCTAGATTCTAGATTGTCTCCTCGTCATACCTTGCTGCCGTTCGTGGTTTGTCACAAACTATCATAAGACCTGCTGCCGTTCGTGGAAAATCTCTGTTCGCGTGAATCACGTGAAGTTTTCTCCACCGGTTACTGTTACCGTTTAATTCTGCTCTTGATGCGAAATCCTGCTGCGACTGTTGAGTGCTCTCTTTCTTTCGTCAAGCATGAATTCTTTTGTTGACATCATCGAATGCGACCAGCACCACTAGCACTGCGAACACTGTTTCTGCTACTGCTGGCTCAGCGCCACAATGTGCTTCAGCAACTGCGACCTGCTGATTTCGTCGCAAGTAACTCATGGCTTCCCTCGCCACAACCAGCAACATCAACACCACACTACAACAACAACAACAACAACAACGACAACGACAAACATCGCTCCTGCTACTGCTGCTCGAAGCGTCAGCTACTAATATGTAGTACCACTACTACCACTACTACCACTACCACTACTACTACCACTACTACTGCTACTACTACTACCACTCCTGTTGCTACTAGTACTACTACCACTACTACTGCTACTACTACTACGACGACTACTACTACTACTACTGCTTCCTTCTTCTCTAATTGTAGAGCTACTACGATTGCTACAGCCACTACCTCTACCACTTCCGCTGCAACTGCCACTGAAGACAACGATTACTCCCACTGCTGCTGCGGCGACTGTTGGTGCTGCTCCGACCACTGCCACCCACCGCCACCACCCGCACCACTACCCCTGCTGCCGCTTGTGCTGCTCGAGTGGCACAAAAAATCATGCGAAATTGGACACATCAGCAAGCTTTCTTCCTTACCGTGCTCATCTCAGAGGGCGTTGGACTCCAGTGAACCGTCGGAGAACCCTGAACGCCAGACACAGAGACTAAGTAGACTTCTTCGGCCATAATCCAGAATGTGCCTCAGCAGCCCCGCCAAATCACTGACGCTTTGCAGCGTATCGTGGTGGAGGCCTGATTCTCGTAGGTTCTGGGTATCCACATATCATGACACATTACCACTCGTCGATAGAAGCAAAAACGTTGACCTACACTCGTACATGTTACCCCTTCGGACATGTGGCTGCCATACTTCGTCTCACGAGTCATGAGAGCCCGCCGGTAGAGCTCCTCAGCCTCCACATACCTGCGCTCAGTTCTTAAGATGCTGCTCTCGGCCCTTGCCTGTCTAAGGTTTCGAGCTTAGCCTGAATGAAGCCCTCAAACCAGTCCGGCTTGCCAGGAAAAGCCAGGCGCTGGCCGCTCGAACCATCCCCGAAGCCGCATGCAAATCGCTCCGGAGAACAGATATTGCCCTTCAAAGGCCTGCCCTTCTCCTTCAGGAGGTGGGCAAGATTGGTGACGCTGGACACAGTCACCTTGCGACGGCTCCCCTTTTCCGGAGTAGGAGTGCCTCTCATGACGAGAACGATAGCATCAGAACGTGCTAGCGATGGCGAAAGCACTGGTACTAGTGGCTACCAGCGGGTACTAGTGACTAGTGACTCACTAGTGCCTGTGATCAATGGGTCCCTTCGGACCCGCCGCTTCCGCCTCAAGAAAGCACTTTGGGTGCGGCGACGGTTCCAAAAACCAGGCCATGCTTCTGGTCACGCAGAGTTGCATACGCTGCACCTCCATCCGAAGTCCCGAAACCTACAGGTCCTTCCACTCAGAACCGGCCAGGTGGCATTGTGCATTTGGCCTAAAGAAGCCTCCTGGCTGGAAAGGACCCGGCGCTGTAAGGGCTCTGCCTGGGGAGTGGCGGAGATAGCTGCTTTGCGGTCTGGGGACTCTTCAAAAACCTTCAAAACCCCTCTTGCACAGTCTCCCACACCTTGTCCAGCTGGCCCATCAATCTGTACATGTAGGCCAAGCTTGCGACCTCAGGACCGCAGCGGCCGAAAAAGGGAGGCGGGCAAAATGCATCAGTATTCTACCTACGCAGTCCTGCAACGATCGATGGACAATCACAAGGGTGCAAAGCCAACTATTGGATTTTAGACCGACTGCAGGTATCTCCACACCAGCAGCTAAGGCCGAGATACTGCTTGCAGCGTCTCCAGGTGGTCTGGCCCCAGTGACGTTTCCCGCACCTTCGCTCTTCTAAGCAAAACAGCTTCAATGCAATGGGTTGCAAGTGGGTGAAGGACTAGCTTGCATGATTGGCTATGCCGCTATTCTAGAACCCCTGTACATGGGTAGATGACGCTCGATGCATCTAGGGAAACTTCGGAGCTTTTGCCCCAGCCTTCAGATGTCCTCGCTCTTCCACGCTCTTCCACCGGGCTGTGCCCCCCCCGTCCGAATCCCCACCAACCCGCCCTGCCCGGCGCCTGGATGATGCGGAGGTTGTACTTCTCTGCCTTTCAGCTGATATTCCGGCAAAAACGTAGCGCAGGCCAAGGCCCTCCCTGTTCTCCGACACAAAGAAGCCAAAAGCCCTCAGAAGAAAGGCCTCGTTCAGCTTGCCCAGCGCTAGGGCATTGTCGGCCAACATCTGCAACGCAACAAGCCTGCATGCCGCAAGAGCAAAGGCGACCATCACGCTATCGCCCAGCCAAGGAAATCTAAGAACTTAACCCTGCTCAGCAGAATAGCAACTCTACTGCATGATCTTGACAAAGGCCACAATCTACGACCACGACACTACACTTGCACCAGCGACCTGTCAAAACATCAAGTCCAACATACTTTGAACTACGATCCTAGTCTGTGCCGCAGCTGCGGCAAAGTCGCGTCTCGGGGTGCAGGTGGCCCTGCTTCTTCTCCTCAGTTGCATCCGCAAGCTGACATATGAGAGTGGCACTGAGCCAGCACTGTGGGCTGGTCTACACATGATAACGGCCGTCAGGCCGAAAAATGATTGCCACTAAAAGGTGCTTGTGCGGTTGTTGCTCCTCCCTGCTACTACCATGTGGATGTGTTTGAGTGTCCTGTGCCAGCCTACTCTAAAATTCGCCTCGGCCCCGGCCGAAGCGGTCAGAGGTTCCTATTCGGATTCCCTCTATTCCCCACCTCTTCATCCCCCCCCCAGTGGCCCCCTCAAACCCGCTATCGGGGGGGGGTTCGTCTGTGTGAACCCAGAAATGAGCCCCAAGGTCCTGGGTGAAATCTCCAATGGATTTGGGCTCTCTGTAGGGAGTCCCACCCTCCATCCGGCACGGGGTGCAGGGCCCCTCCCTACCCGTTCGCCCTGCTTCCCTGCCTTGCTTCCGCTTTCCGGCGGCAGCGGTCGATGCGCAAGTCCTGCAAATGCCTCTACTGGTTGTTTGTACGCAATCTCCTCTCCTTTCCCTGAAGGCACCAGCAGTTCGTTGGCCCTCGTTGTTTGCGGCCGGGCCGAGGCGGACGGCGCGAAGCGTTTAAAATTATGTACGTTTGCTTCTGTTGGCGATGATGTACGATACTTCTGCTGGATACTATCTGCCGACATGCATGCGTGTCATTCCTATCATGATGGTTATGGCATGTTATACTCAGTATTACCACATGCTGCTGCACTGCATGTTGGTGTAGCGGCCACCACCCCTTCACGGGCGACGAAATTGCTCCAGGACAAGGAGGCAAGGTGCTTCGTGCTGCAGTATCTCAGGGAATTGGGATGTCGGGACATGCATTCACTCGCTGCATGCACTAAACCGGTCTCTAACCACCGTGCAACCTGAAACGAAAACTCAGAATCCCCCAAGCCCTCACGACCGGATTCTCCATCCCATGCAACCGTTCTGCAAAGCCCCACCTTTCCTCAATCGCACAGTGCCCTGGTTTGTTTGGGCAATGCGAAGGAAGCTGCAACATATGCATAGGGCATAGGCATTATGGTATGTGTGCACCTCTGCGAAGCTCCGCAATGGGTGCTGTCAGGATGCCCTGTATTCCAGGGTCTTGTGGAGCAAGGGCTCTGCCTCCTTGTGCTTGCCCTGGACAGAACGGGCGTGCTGAGAGAAGGAGAAACACTATTGGCTGTTGAAGATCCCGAAGGTCGTTTCTCCCGGGCTTTGCTTGCTTGGCTTCGGGCCGCTGCCTGTGCGCTGTAGATCGCGGAGAGTTCTGCGATGCTGGCCATCTTAGTAAGTGGCAACTGCTATCTTGATTTCTCTTTAGTAATGTGAATTCTGACTGGAAGACACTGCTACAGTGCACCTCTTAACTGGGAACAGGCTGCAACATGAAGAAACGCATTCTTTTAGC